AAGACGGCTTATCGACTTCTTGAGAAGAATTCTAAGAAGAAAGTAAACCTACAGACATCGGTCTTGTTTAACAAAATATGCCTACAATATATATATATATATATATATATATATTTTAAATTTTATTCGGGACAAGTATTTAGTTCGAAAAGGAAAGAAATTTTTATCAACTGGGATGTACGGGGATATCAGTATCCCTCCTTTGCCCAGCTCGTGAACATTTGTTTGCGAAACCAGCGTTAAAATTATGCAAAACACAAATATATGTACCCATATGTATACATACATACACGTATATATTTGTTTTTGGTTTACAGGCCTAACGATTAAAATAAGCATCGGAGGACCATTAGTATAATTGTAAAGGTTATGACGTTGAGGCAAAGAACGCAAAGCAGGCCGCCCATGTTAAGGAGGTCGAAGTAGTAGCTTATAACTAATAGAGAGGGACATTAAATGTCAAAGCTATGTCCCGCATATTTGATCTACTCAGTGCTTTGTGCTCCCCGTACTCCAATATATTTCTTTATTTCGAAATAGTGTTTAAGACTCATCAGTATTTCGCAACTGTTTCCTTAAACTTCTTTTTTTTATTGTTATTTTCTCTATTCCAATATGAAACATATCACGTTAGGTAACTAATCCCCTTCCATAAACAGTTAAGTGCTTATTAGCAAAGATCGGGATTAAGGAAAGCCGCCTTATATGAATAGCAGATTTAGCTAAAAGGTTAGATAATCTCGGACACTTTTTTTTTTCAACGAAGAATATAGAAATGGTTAACCTACATCATACAAAGTTCCTCGTGCTCGAACTATTAACCCTAGGGTCCATGGCCAGTGGTTTAATTGGGATTTTGAAAGAGGTGGAACTCCTTTTTATGACCCGCCTTTTAGTAGCACCGTGGATTACAGCGTGGTCACATCAAAAGACTAGAAATACTGTTCCGAATCGTTCCGCCACAATTTAACTCCTATACATGGCTCGTGTCCCGTTGCTTTGGGGTCATGGGTGTACGCTACAAGATTCAAAGTGAAATCCCACTATTCGTTCAGACAAGAGAGTAGCCCAAAAGTTGGCGTTGGATGTTGTTGTTCTAGTCCATCAATTCAGAATTAAAGACAGTGGATAACCCTTATACACTTTATTATGCAATAAAGGTTTATTTTTATAGTGTGACCGATAAGAATAATATTAGTGTTTCTCCACAATTACAGAATTACATGTAGACTAGAAATAACTATTTAAATAATTTTAATTACTTGTATAAGACGAATATATAATAATCGGCTCATTTACTCATAATGCCTACATTTTGTATGTCTAAATCAAATAACTATGCATTGAACTTGTTTCTGTAGTCTTAATTAGACCATAATTATTTCAGTGCTTACCACGACTTCATCAACTGTGTGGATTCTGCTGCTAAAGTTCAGTGTGACAGAGATGGCCAGAGATTTGTACAACATGTTTTAGATCAGACCAGAATGACATCAGGGGACTATTGTGATACCTACGGAGGTTTGAGTTTGCAGTGTTCCACTGCAGCACAACTTCCTCAGCCAAGTGAACTTTTGTTTTGGGTACTTTTAGTGTTATCTTTGTCTTGGAAACATGGATGCGCAATGTTCATAGGTGAATTAGCTTACTAAAGGTAAAGCGTATTGATTATTTTAAGAATAAACCATGGAATCATTGGTAACTTTGTACTGTTAAAGTTGGTCTGTCAGCAGTGAAAAGCCATTGGAAATTATTGTGAAACGCTATGATGATATCAAAGGAAGTCCCGGCTTATTATGACGTCACATCAAATAAAACTACAATGTTTTATAAAATTGTCAGTTTCACACACACAAAGTAATATATTTTGCATAGATGTCGCGTTTCTTCTGAGTGCTGCCGATTTCTTGGAATCAAGGACTATTCAATAAACCACTTGGATTTTTATTGATGTTTGGCTTAAATAGTGCATTAGAAAGGCTTAGGGTTAAACCAGTAATTTTCTAATATTGTGCTGTTTAAAGTGATCTATAGTAATTAGTGAAAACTTGTGAGTCAAGGGCTGCTTGTGTATTTGAAGTAACTCGTAAACAAAACGTTTTTAAAAAGAAAATAAAACTAATAATTTTGCAAGATCTCTCGGGGTACATCAGCAGGTCGGATTGCATTTTTGTGCATCATGTGACTGTTGAATTGACAGCTAAAATTGAAGTAACCATATGGAAAGGATCAGCATACTGTTAGAATTCAAGCTTCTCCACTAGGGTATCTCGCGTATGTAAAAGATGCTTGATATTACAAGCAATTCGGAAAATAGAGAAAACTCGCACTTACTATGGTATAAAGCAAGGATAATGTCTAATAATAAATAATATTAGCTAGTAAATTATCAAATCACTTGTGTTCTACTCTAAATGATATAAGTTGATCCATATTAAAATGAGGTGGTAGTGTATGGATATTTCGGGAAGATATCAAAACCTTCTTGGAATTAGAATGCATTATCCAGTCAGCGTAATACGGGTCTTTTAAATAATAATTATAATAATAATAATGGAAAATTAAACCATTATATCTTCCCTAGATGAAGCTGACACATTCTATTAAACTGATCGTAAAAATCCTTCTCGTTCGTGTGAGAAATGAATGTTACGTTTATACATGTAACCATTTCTACTGTATTGGCGTTAGTGTATGTTCCAATCTTGTGAACCCTTAAAAAAAGAAGAAGAAAACTGCAAATTTTTAGTGAGTTTTTAACTAGTTACTTTAGTAATTCTCTTGACCAAGAGGTAATCCAGATAGAGAAAAGATAAAGGCAAATATTTTTTGTATAGATGCCTTGTTTCAATTTCCTTTTTATTGACTAATGTTTTAAAAGGCTTAATAAACACGTGCATAGTACGTAGATATTGTCATAGAAGACATTCTCTCACAAAATATATAAAAATTGTTGACATGTACCAAGCTCCAGTACGTACATTTGGTCTAGGTATGTTCGTAGAACCAATGCAAATAGTATTCGTTTTACCTAAGTTATACATGGAGCCACTTGGAGAAACACTGTAAAGCTATTTATTCAATTTTGCGTACATTTTATATTAATCCTTCAGTTACTTGAATCTGCTTCGGTAGGTGGCGTTTTGGTATTCAACACGAAATGTTTTTATTTTGTTCGAGCGAAATTTGACCACAAGAGTTTTGTTGATGTTTTTTCATTCATTTGTTGTTGTTTTTAACTCAACCCTGTTTCGGTTGATATCACCCCTCATTAGTAAAAAAAAAAAAAAAAATTGGAAAAGAAAACAAAATATTCTTGATAGCAATATCATGTTGAGTATGATGCATGTTCTCCGAATTCTTACTGTATAGTAGGACTTCGAATGGCGAGAAAGAAACAACTAACTTGTATATTTGAATCATTCATTGATATGGAAATTAAAATGTATTGTTGTTTGTTTGTATTTTTTTCTAATACGTCTAGAGGTTGGGGACTTGCAACTCTTGTTGATATTATATAAACAAAAGCGTGAATGTACTTTAATAACGTATGCACATATAAGCTATACAGCACTATAATATTTGAAACAATAGATATGTTGTAATCGTGAATTATAATTAAAGTATAGAATCCCATACTGTATTAAGCTTTACAGTTTTAGCCTGGAACATGTATTGTTCTTGGATGTTTGTTTTATTAATTTCTACATAGAACTGGCACGTTTTAAAATCTATTATAAAGATTGTGTATAAAATGAAAACAAAATGTTTTATGATTTTCTGCATATTTTCAAAATATTTTATTGCAACATTCCGTCTCCAATAGTTCTATTTGTTATAGAAAGTTACGTTATAAGGTTGTAAATAGTTGTGCTTCTAATAAACTGTATTACTGCCTTGACATGTTTTTCCAGTTATGCCTTTTATGTTTTATTCCTTCATTTTTCAACGAATTTGGACGTAAATGCTCCGTAAATTCATAATTCGCGCTTCTTTGAGTAAAAAACGCACTCCGCACTTTGGGATCGTGAGAGTGATGGTCAAACTTCACTATTGAATCAAACAAGTGTGCTCTCTGGTAGGCCAGATGGAAAGTTTTGGACTTACAACGCTAAAATTAGGTTAAATTCCCCGTGATGAATAGAGAACACGGATATTCCGTTGTGTAGCTTTGCACTAAGAAAACAATAATATTTAGACAAGCGTAGCCCAAGAACTGCTGTTGGTGCTGTTGAAGAGCTGCCTCTCCTCTAGTATCAATTCAAACTTAAAAATGGCTATAGGCAGATAGTCCTTGGGTAGTTTTGCTCGAAAATTCTAAAAAAGAAACACACATTATAAATTCAAGGTCATGCATTCACAGAAGATAATTTTCTCGATAAATGAATGCACTTTGGAGGGCGATTGGACAGCGCAAAAAGGAAGGGGGTTTTAATATATTTTTTTAAAAAAGATTGTTTACTCATCGAATTGAGTTTTCCACCTAAATATTAAATAGTATACAGCGAAAAGCATGTTTGTCTCTTATTTAGAACTATCATCGAGAATTTTCTCCGTTAGTGTTTTAGGAAAATCGAAACCTAAAAACTCCAGTATATCCAGTATAACATTTCAGAAACTTCGGAAACTTTCTAAAACATGTCATTATTCTTAATTATTCTAACTACAGGGAACCGATAAAACTAACTCATATTCCTTTAACAATTAGGGTTTTCTGGTCTCACTATGAAGTTATTTTAAGCTTAAATATTGTAATATAAACATTTAGGATGATTAAGTCAAATGATTAAACACTAT